AAACTTATTTTCTTTTATTTCAATTGTCTTTTATTTAAAAATTATTCAGTTCTATAAAAACACGTTTCAAAAGTATAACTATGAGCAACAAAGTAAACATGTGGTCTTAGGCAACCTTAAAAAGAATGATTTGGTAATGTAGTTTGCTTATGTTACCGCGAGTCACGTTGATCATTCAAATAACCTGGAATAAAAATAAATAAATTTTAATTAAGTATAGCAGAAAGTCAACTTTTGCTAAGTCAATGGGAAAATTCTACCTTTAAAGCTTGTCTCTGAATTTCAAAGATAATTAAAAGGCCAAAATTTTGGGATGTGTAATTTGTATACAATTTTACTCGTTCAGATTCATTTTGAATATCTTATTTTTATGATATCCGTTCGAAGATCTATTCTTTAAATGTGTATTTTATTTGTAGGATATATTATTTTTAATTTTTAATCCTTTTGAAGATTTATTCTTGCTCATTTATAATTCTTTTCAGAATCTGTTTTTTAAAATTTGTACTCCTTTTAAAGATTTATTCTTTTAAATTCTTCGAAAATAAACAGTTTTTAAATTTTTTTGGCTCATTTATTTTAAAATTTTTAAGGTTACATGAAGAAAAAAATTTAATTTTAAATGTCTCTCTTTAAAGTAGTACCGCAATCTGTCGCAACTTTTAAATTTCAAATTCAGAAATTTTATCGAAGTGAATTTTTATGCATTAAGCATAAGTGTATCATCATAAGTTGAAAAGCATCAGTGTATCACTCATTCCTAATAATGAGTGATACACTAATGCTTTATATATGCTTAAATAATGCGACCCATCTCAGAACTAGTTGTCACACTAGTAATGGTGAACTAGGTAAGTATTTTTAAATCTTAAATAGAAACGAAAATTAAACTAAATCTGATATAGACGTACGATAAGGGAATTAAGTTATACAAATAAGTATAAAAAATGTATACGAAATATGAATTGATATACTTTAAAAAATTCGAGACCGAATTACGGTATAAGTCATCGGTACTTTGGTTTCATCATCCGTAAAATCCATTTTTACAGCAAAATAATATACCGTAATTTGTACAGTAATACTCATTGAATTAGGATTATATCGGGATTTTATGGTAATTATTAGTGTAACAGATTTTTGTTCCATAACATATTCCAGTAAAAATGGAGTTTTGCTGGAACATATTACGGATCCAGTCACTTAGGCATATACACTATCTAGCCATTAATGACCGGACACCCCTTAAACGGCAGGTGGACTCGTCTTGGTGGAATAAATACGGAACCTGTGGTGGGGGAAAGACCACTCGCAAGCAGGCGACGGCCATACGAGCGTTAACAGTGAAAATGAGTGGACGACGAGAGCTGAATGAGGCGGAAAGGGGCATGATCATAGGCGCCCACCGATTTGGTCATTCCATACGTGCCATCTCCGACAAGTTTCAGGTACCACANATAGTAACATTGGTGTTTCTTTAATGCTTATCCTCAACGAATTAGTTCTATTTCTGCATTAATTTTACTTTTCAATACAAAACTTATTTTCGTTTATTTCAATTATCTTTGATTTAAAAATTATTCAGTTTTATAAAAACACATTTTAAAAGCGTAACTATGAACAACAAAATAAACATGCGATTTTAGGCAACCTTAAAAATAATTATTTTTTGATGTAGTTTGCTTATGCTACAGCGAATCACGTTGATCATTCAAATAGCCTGAACTAACAATAAATAAAATTTAATTTATTATAACAGAACGTGCAATAAGCAACTTTTGCTAAGTCAATGAGAAGATTCCATCTTTAAAATTTGTCTCAAAGATAATTAAAAAGTCAAAATTTTGGGATCCGTAATATGTATTCGTAATTTTACTCGTTTAGATTCATTTTGAATATCTTATTTTTACGCTATCCGTTCGAGGATCTATTCTTTAAATTTGCATTTTATTTGTAGGATATATTATTTTTACTTTTTAATCCTTTTGAAGATTTATTCTTACTCATTTATAATTCTTTTCAGAATCTGTTTTTCAAAATTCGGACTCCTTTTAAAGATTTATTCTTTCAAATTCTTCGAAAGTAAACGATTTTTAAATTATTTTGGCTTATTTATTTTAAAATTTTTAAGGTTGCATGAAGAAAGAAAATTAATTTTAAATTCTTCGTTAAAGAAGTATCGCAAGTTGTCGCAACTTTTAAATTTCAGACTCAGAAATTTTATAGAAGTGAATTTTTATGATGATACACTTTTTCATTAAGCATAAGTGTATCATCATAAATTAAAAAGCATTAGTGTATCACTCATACCTAATAATGAGTGATACACTAATGCTTTATATAGGCTTAAATAATGCGACCGATCTCAGAACTAGTTGTCACACTAGTAATGATGAACTAGGTAAATATTTTTAAATCTTAAATAGAAACGAAAATTAAACGAAACATGACATAGACGTACGATAAGGGAATTAAGGTATACAAATAAGTATGAAAAATGTATACGAAATATGAATTGATGCACTTAAAAAAATTCAGGACCAAATTACGGTACAATGCACCGGTACTTTGGGTCCATAAAATCCATTTTTACCGCAAAGTACTATACCGTAATTTGTACAGTAATATTTACTGAATTAGGGTTATATCTGGATTTTACGGTAATTATTAGTGTAAAAATTACGGTATAACAGATTTTTTGTTCCGTAACATATTCCAGTAAAAATGGATTTTTGCTGGAACATATTACGGATCCAGCCACTTAGGCATGTATAGTCACTAAATCATGATCAAGGTGCCGGCACTTTTTATCGTAATTTGATGGCGATTTCTTTACAATGTGGATATTGCTTATATTTTTTGCAAAAATCTTGTACATCAAATAGGTAAGCGTACACGTGTGTGTAGGAGGAGTCGCTAGAGAAACAGGCTTTATAAGTGCGTGTAAGTTAAGACGCATTTCGTTCACTAGCACATTTTTTTTTTTTTTTTACATCCGTTGTTGAACAGCCGACCCAATTTTCGGGTTTACGACTACTAATGTTCAACTCAGTCGCCTTGTAGTTTTGAATCAATCCAGAAGACAAGGATTCTCCTGGATCAGTACCCCCAGAGGTATTGATTTGTTATGGGAACATGGAGGACTTTGCGACTCGACAGATTTAACGTGTATCAGTCACCATTTAGTTCACGGGGAGTCTTCGGCCGGCGGGGATCAAACCCACGAACTCTTGGACATGGGTCCAGTGCCCTATCAACCAGGCTATCTCGGCCCTCACTAGCACATCTTGTAAAATTTCCTGGTGTTAGTTTGCAGAAATAGGTTAAATTCAAATTGTTGCAGTGGATTTAACCCACTGTTAATCGTAGGGAGGTCAGAAGCAGGCTAATCTCAGATCCAGATTTGTAGAGAGTTCAATTTAACGCCCAGCGTCGTGTGTAACTTATTGAAACAGTTCCAGGATACCGGATCTATCGGGAAAAAGCCTGGGCAAGGTCGTCCAAGAGCCACGACTTCCTGAGAAGATTGCCATTTGTCCATTATAGTGAGGCATAACAGAGGTGCTACAGCTTCTCAGCTCTCTCGTGACTTGTACGCAGTCACAGGAAAAAGGGTGACTGTTTCCAAACGACTTCATGAGACAGGGTTGTTTGCAAGAAGACCTGCTATTTGCTTCCCGCTCACTTCTACGAGCAGGAGAGTCCGATCAGCATGGTGCAGAGAGCATAGAGATTGGAGTATGGATCAATGGACGACCGTTCTCTTCACTGACGAGTCCCGATTCAGTCTAAACACCGATTCTCACCGTGCGTTCATGTGGAGATAACCAGGGACCCGCTACCTACCCTTAAATGTCTGCGAAAACGACCATTGGCCCTGAGTTCATTTTAATGGACGATAACGTGAGGTCACATAGAGCTCCTTTGCTCGACGAATTTCTAGAGAGTGAGGATATTCACCGGATGGATTAGCCTGTCAGATCTCCAGACCTAAACCCTATAGAGCATGTCTAGGACGCTCTGGGGTGGACAATTGCAACTCTCGACCAGGGAAGGAAAACAGCGTTGCTGAGCGAGTGGGACCAATTGCTACATGAAATGATAAACTGCCTTATTTCAAGTATGAAATCACAGCCTGTATATCTGTAAGAGTGGATCATACCCCTGATTAACCCATTTTTTGTTTATTCTGAAAGCTTTGTTTCATACCTTCCAACTCCAACGAGTGTTGTGCACGATCATGCTTGTGTATTACAATTGTTAAATGGTTAGTTGTTTCGTATTGTAACACTGTATGTACATATCAAATTTCATTAAAATCGGTTCAGTAGTTCTAGAGATAATCGACCAACTTTGCAAATTCTCTTAATTTCTAACACCAGTGTATTTGCATTTGTGTTATTTTCGCTGCAAAATTTTATATCTGGAAATAAATTTATGTCATAACTTATTCATAAAGTTCAATAAAAACACAGAAACTCGAGATTTAACTATTCTCAAACTGGCTTTTATTTAGAGGGTACTAATTACTAAATATCCATTAATCAAAATTTCCGCAATGAAAAGTGTTTATGTAACATAACTGATTTCCATTTACCATTAATGGTTGATGAAATTTCATTAATAACTACCATTACAGCAAGGATAACTTATTCGACATGAGTTAATTTATACGGTAGATTTCAGCCCACAGACTGTTAGGAATATAGAAAAGGAACTTGAATATTTCTAATATGTGTTTATTTCCGTATTATGGGAATCAACTTTCAAATATCACATCAGGATGAAAAAAGAACTAAAAAAGAAGTTGTCCTTCCCCATAATTAAAAAAAATCAAGCTCAGTTATTGTATTTATGCTAAAATATGGCAGATCATGTAAGAAATCTTCGAAGGCCGATATATTTTAAAATTCAATTTCTTCTTTTGCATTTATCGCGTTTCCTCTATATTAAGCGATGGGCGTGATTTTTTTTATTTTTTTTTTCTAGAAATAGTTTAACCGGAAGATCTTGTGGCAATAAATTTGTTGGATTAATTACAAATCTCAACCATTTGCATTAACTTACTTACTGTAGAAGTACGCAAAAGTAATTAGAGGATCAAAAAATGATTGGAGTTAGTCATCAAAATGGTGAATGTCTTCAGTCTTCTAGCAAAGAAAGAAATAATAACTTATCAAACTTCCATTATAAAGATGGATTACCGTGTTTTGGTAAGTTGGAATTTATGTAAGACATTATAAAATATGTGGTATTTGTGAAATAGCATTTAAGAAATATTAAAAACATTTCTAATTTTTTAAACGTATAAAATGAGATTTTTTAGCATTTGCGGTATGAAATTTTTTTAAAAATATACTAAGGCAAATTCTTAATTTAAGTTTTAATGCCTTTTTTTTAACCTTAAATAAATAAAAAGCATTAAGTGCTATGATTCTTAAAATGTTATTATTTTCACTATGAAAAAAAAGTTTCTAGTTCAGATAATTTATTTGAAATACACAAAAAAAAACTGTATAAAAATACGTGTGTTTTTAATTCCTAGTCAATTATTCAATTATTTTCAAATGAACTATAGTTTTTAAGTTTAGTTAGTTAAGGTTAAACTATGATTTTCTAATTCTCTTTAAATTAACTAGGAGGTTTTTCTCCCTGCTCGTTCCGTTCACCAACCTCCTTTTACCTCCTATTCATCGTAGTTTTTTCATCTTCATCTAAATCGATATTTTTTAACGAAGAAAAAGTCTATTTTGTTTATAAAATATTTAATTATTAAATCTTCATCTCTGAGCATTTTGTCAAAATGGTAATGTAGCAAAATTGACGGTGACAAGGATTTGAAAAATAATCAGCTGAACTTTAAAAAAAATTAAACTTTGGATTATAGAATGTGTTACTAATAACAATAAAAATAAATAAAAGTGGTGTAATTTTATTTGCTAACTTTCTACTTGTTACGTACCGCTCTTTAATTTTATTGATTAAAATTACATTGTTTTAAAACTATCAATAAAAAAAATTCCGATCACTGTTAAGCCCTTAAATTATTAAATTTATAAAAATTTAACTTATTTTTATTTAATAATTTGTTTATAAATGAGTCTTACAAAGCACAAAAGATCATTGATGCTAAACAATTAGTTTCAGGGAAGTGAAGAAAATCTCATAAATTAAAATTAAGTCCAAAGAGCAACAGCACCTTGTTGTCCCTAAGGTATCGCAACATTTTATGCTAAATTTCTTTGTCTTGGGAAAATATATAGCTGACGAAAACGATTGTATGTTAAAATGCTGTCATTAGATTGTAAACTAACTAACGAGGTAAAAAATTAAAAGTGCCCATAGATATAATCATCTCCCCTAAGCTTTAGGAAATTACGTATAAAATAAGGGTAAAAAGTACAGGCACCTTGAGTGCAACATTTGCAAAATCTTTTTCACAGTAAAATCCATTTTGATCGTGAATTTAAATACCCTAGTATACAGTGTAGTATTTATTACAATAATAAGTATACAGTAATTTGCAATAATATGCAATATGCGATAATATTTATTACAGTAATAAAATGTATACAGATATTTGTATATAGTAACGTTTATTTATTTACTGTGATTCAGTGATTTTACTATAAATATTACTGTAAAAATACAGTGTATCAGATTTTTCCCCGTAAAATTTTGCCGTTGAAATGGATTTTGCTTTTAAAAGCACTGGCATCCTAAGTGCCGGTACTTTTTATTTTAATTTAACTCAGAAATTTTTACAGTGTTCTTTTCCTTTTCCTTTTAAACTCCTATTTTTCAAAAAAAAACAAGAACTTGTTTTTTTTAAAAAGTTATTTTTAATTGAAAATAGCTACTCTGATTTTAAATACTTGTATAATGCGTCAAAAAAAAAAAAAAAAAAAAAAAAAAAAAANAAAAAAAAAAAAAAAAAAGAGACCACTCTGAACAACGTTTGATCTAATGATGATCAGATCTTCACGTTAAAATAAAAATAAAAATAAAAAAAAGTTCAAATAAAACAAGTCTAAATAAAAAACAACTCGTTGTTACAATAAAATATTTTGCTTGTTATGATTTACCAGTTGTTGAGAGTTTAATTACCCAAATTGTCGTCGGTTGATTGTACATATTGAATTGATGGTATATATTGATTGTTTATATTGATTATATATATTGTATAAATTGTATTAACAAATTTATTTAATGTCTGATCATAAAAACGTTCCAACATTTAAAATAGGTTCAAATAATCATTTTTTGTGTAAATTTTAGTTTCATTTTGCATTTATTGTGAATGAAACTGTTATTTGTGTTGTCTGGAAAGATTGTATTGATATTGTGGGGGGGGGGGTAAGNGGGGGGGGGGGCAGATCGTAACACAGCACATTCAAAATTTGTTGCGAATCTAATAAATTATGTAAGTACCAGTCTGCTTAAAATTTTTTTGACATCATTTAAAAAACATAAAAATCAGGAAACTGTCAGATTTTTCTACGAGAAATTATCAAAATATTTGTAAATTCGAGGGGACTGATTTTTGGAAAAGGTAAAGCATCCTGGGACAACTTTTTTCAGATTTGTACAAACGCATAAGTCACCAAATATTTTTTTATTCGTTTTTTCTGGAAGTTTTGGTTCAATCGGTGTTTTTTTAATACATCAGTTTGGAACCAATATTTTTTATATTCCGTCACTTAAAATATGTGTGTATATTGTTTGCTTTCGGTAAATCTACTATATTCAGATCTGTCCCTAATAAAAATCAGCACGGACCTTCAGGGCCACCGAATATAATTTCTTTAGGAAAACTGAAAAAGAAATGGTGTTTTAGATGTCATATTTACGGAAGGAACCCGATCTATTTCAAGGAAGTACAAATGACATTTGAGAGAGAAAAAAATGGACCAACCTTGAAAGAAGTAAAGATAAATCATAAAATTTATGACCCATGGAATAATGATTGTGCAACTAAGCATTTTCGGATAAAAGGAATAATGTGTTATATTTATGTATTTATTATTATTTTTTTTTGTTGAAATGTTCAATCTTGGAAAATAACCACGTAGTTCTTCATGCATTCAAGCAGTAACATAGAAAAAATGACTCATCTATGTGTTCCGGTAGTTTAACAGCGGTAGTGTTTGTTAAAAATGAAATCATATGCTACTGTAAGTAGCAGAAATCAGATTTTACGCGTAATTACTTGTGAGAAAAAAACCAAGTGTTTATAAGTATCCGTAATTTTGCTTTCTCCATACAAAAGTTAAGAAGATCTTATTTTAAAATTTTAATTTAACTGTTAACTCAAATTTTAAGTTAACGCGTTCTCTTAAAATGCATTACAGTAAATAATTAAATTAAACATAAAATTGACTTACACGTGTAATATGAAAAGAATCAGAGAACCGATGAATAATTCGGCGAATGAATGAATAAGCGAATTGCTGAACAGCTTAATGAATAATTCTGGAAATCAACAAATAAGTGAATAAATCAATGAAAGAAAGTATAAGTTGATTCAATGAATAAATAAAACAATGATTTAGAGCAGTGCTCCTTAACTTTTTGATTGCCATGGACAGTTAATTGCTTGATAATTTTACCACGGACCGCTGAGAAAGGGGACGGCGTTGATTGTTTAAATTATAGATCGGTTTGATTTGATAATATTAATTTAATTGTATTTAAACATGCCTTTGAATAAAAACGCAATAAATGCTTGTTATTAGTGCAGCTTTAGGTTAACCTCTCGTCCTTGAAAAAGTGTACAAATCCGAGAAAAAGAAGAAGAAAAATGAAAATAATTTTAAGTTTCGTGAGTGATGCGGTACCATTTTATCGGCGAACTGGTACTGGTTCGTGGTCCGGGGATTGGCTACCACTAAGTTAGAGCATCAATAAAGGGAGAATCCTTTCTGGCCCAAAGTCACAGGTGTTCCTCGCTCAAAGCCCCCCCCCCTTCCCTTTACAATCGCAGGTGGGGAGTTGACGCTAATCCATCGTACTTGAGATAATCTTCCTTTCCATAGGGGTTGATAGTCATTATGCGTTTATCTCTGATTGGCGCCATTTCGTTAATATTTACAAAATGTTATGATTTTACAAAACAAGAATAAAATTCGGAATTTTTAAAGACTGCTTTCTTTTCTGAGTGATGATTATTTTTAAAAATTTATTTATTGCAATTCGTTTAAAAATTTATTTATTGGTCCCGTTAATATTTATTATTTACAAAATGTTATGATTTTACAAAACAAGAATAAAATTCAGAGTTTTTAAAGACTGCTTTCTTTTCTGAGTGATGATTATTTTTAAAAATTTATTTATTGCAATTCGTTTAAAAATTTATTTATTGGTCCCGTTAATATTTATTATTTACAAAATGTTATGATTTTACAAAACAAGAATAAAATTCAGAGTTTTTAGACTGCTTTCTTTTCTGCGAGGTTATTCTTAAAAATTTATTTATTGTTTTCGTTAATATTTATTATTTACGAAATGTTATGATTTTACAAAACAAGAATAAAATTCAGAATTTTTAAAGACTGCCTTATTTTCCGCGAGATTATTTTTAGAAATTTATTTATTGTAATTCGTTTAAAAATTTATTTATTGTTTTCGTTAATATTTATTATTTACAAAATGTTATGATTTTACAAAACAAGAATAAAATTCAGAA